AATTAACATTTTTCTTTATCGTTTTATGAAAGAACTGAAAGCATCAATGTTAAATGCATGTTAGAAGATATGGCCTTCTTCAGTTGAAATAGAAAACATGCGTGAATCATTAGAAAATGAAATTGGTGGCATATTAGAACTTGCTATATCAATCAGAGGTGAAGGTTTTGTGAACATGGCTATTGAGGACGTTCAAGATTTATTAGCGGAACAAGAAACTGATGAAGATTTAATAGAAATGGCATTGGAAGCTGTAAATCAAATCGATTCTGAGGACACTACCACTGATGAAGATTGTGAAGTTAATAAGTTAATACATTTAAAAAATTAAAAAAAAAAAAAAAAAGGCCTACGCCTTACGCTGAAAAGCTGCAAGTTATTTTTCTTGAGTGCAGACCCTTCCACTGAAATAAGGCAAAAATCCAAAAGGGAGCTGCAAAACTGTCTCTCTTCTAGCTCTATACCAAGAAATTTAAAAGAACATGGTCTGAGCAATGACAACAAAAAAATTTATTATACTAAAGTTGCGTTAAATTAAAATATGTAATACTTTTTGTTTTGTACTGTACATACATATACACTGACTACCAATAAGTATTTGGACACCTGTGAGAGAAAAGAAAAACTAACTTTATTTAAAATCAATAGTTGGTAGAGCCTCCACGAGAGGTAATTACAGCGTGGACCCTCTGGGGCATACTTTCTACAAGTCTTTGTATGACAGCTAGTGGTATTTTCTTCTACTCGGCTTGGAGAAGACAGAAGTTTCTTCACCGATTTTGCACGGGTAGTGCACCCCTGAATTCGGCGATGCAACTTGTCCCAGAGGTTCTCGATAGGATTCAGGTCTGGACTCTGGGTCCATTCGATGACCTCCATTGGCACCATACCAAGCCTTGGTTAACGTTGAAACATGACAACTGGCATTGTCGTTATTAAAGTAACAGGGGTCCAACCCGTAAAACTGCCACAACGTAGGAAGCACATTGTCATCCAAAATAGTGCAGTAGGCATTGGAGTTGAGCTTACCATGAATGGGGACCAAGGGTCCCAGCCCATACCAGGAGAAACACCCCCAGACCATAATTCCACCTCCGCCGAACTTGACTGTTGGCACAATGCATTCTGGCAGGAGACGTTCTCCAGGTAGACGCCAGACCCAAACCCTGCCATCCGAACGGCAAAGGGTGAACCTTGATTCGTCACTCCAAAGAACCCGTTTCCACTGATCTACGGTCCAATTTTGATGTGCTTTGTACCACATTAACCGAGCAGCGCGGTTGGACTTTGTGATGAAAGGCTTATGGGCAGCAGCACGACCATCAAAACCAAGCAGATGTGCTTCCTTACGGATGGTATTCATTGAAATACTCCCGGATGCCTGTTGAAACTCCTCGTGGATGAGGGCCATCGAGTGGGTGAGGTTCTTCTGAATTTCTCTGGACAGCACTTGTCTTGTCGGTCTCATCCCCCGTCCTCTATTTTCGTTGGTCTGCCACCAACTTGGGGCACATTCGACAATCACCACCACTTCCACAATTCTCACCTTCCACTTCTTATCAAATAGGCCACTGTCGATTTTGGGTACTTCAGATCGCTAGATGTGTCCCTTAAGGATCGGCCACATTTGTGATACCCGATAATTATACCTTTCTCGAAGATTCAGAGAGCTCCGAACTGTGAGGCATCTTGCATGCGACTAAAGCCGATGCTGTTTTCTACATGATATATACCGGTGGAGTCCGTGACGTACCTTAGGACCGCAGATATCATCATTTGCATAGGTGTCCAAATACTTATTGGCAGTCAGTGTAAATTTTTAATAAAAATTAAGTTGTTTATGTTTAGTTAAAAAAATATTTATTTTCAATAAGTTTTCAGAACGTAACCCCACCTTTTTATACTGCCCTGGGTCTCATACAACATGGTTTCACACAGCACGGCATTTTCTAGGAATCTATCTACTGTGTTATACAAGGGTTGAAAAATTATAGACACTTAGGAAAATTCCATAATAATTAAGCTTATTTATGTAAAAAAATATGAAAAAAATTAGGTGTACAACAAAATTATCATTACAGTGAACTCTTGCTGAATATGAGGGTTATATTACTATACTTGGCACATATGGCAAAACTGCATTTTTCACAGTTAACTTTCTATCGTATAGTTTAAATTAAGAAAATATGTATAATTTAAACAAACCTAAATATTAATAAAATTAAAAGGAAAAAATGTAACAAGTGCCAATTTGTTACATTTTTATTACTGCTTCATAAGTAGCTATGTGATTTAAATATTTCTTAAAAAAACTGGTGGTTTTTGTTTGAGACAATGACTGACAAAATAAAAGTTTCAGGGTTGAATGTTTTTCAATGCCTCACATAAAATGTATCACCTTTCTTCATTTAGGTCAATCTCCATTGCAAAACAATTTCTCTGCCTTTTAAAACAATTTGTTTTAATTTCTTTTGAGTTAAATGTACTTTCTTCTCAGTTGTTCATCCCACATTTGTCAATTATTATTTATCAATTAATTCTTTGACTTCGTCCATACGTGAAAAATTTCTTGCTTTCTTTGGCTTCATTTTCAATTGATGGAAAACCTTTAAAATTGTTGATGACTTCTGTCTGATGCCAGCAAGCATTCAGTGTTGATGAAGTTCATTGTTCCCATAAGAGTTTAATCATTTCTATGTATAGGCTCATGCAGAATTGCTACAAAAGTGCTATCAGCATCTCATGCCTTCCTTCATCTTGTTTAACTGCAAAGATGTAAACATGTTTGACATGATAGGCTTTGAATATTTTTATGATGCCTCGATCCATTGGATGGATTAAAGAAGTGTTGTTAATATCCGAATAAAACCTGTACATTTGGATGCTACGTTGTGAGGATTTTAGCGTCATTCCTGGAATATTATTGAGAGTTAGGAGAACTTTAAAACTCAAGTTTTGCTGTTTTAAGTAAAGATTGATTTCTTAAATGAATGAATATTTAAACAAGTCATTAAAGAGTGCTTATTTCCTAGTTTTTCTATTCCACTCCCAAACTGCTGAAAAAATTCAAACACAAAAGGAGCTACCTTTTATATCTTTGTGATGTAGGTTCACTGCTCCATTTGCTTATAAAATAGGCCTATCTCATCCTTATTGAAAATTTGTTGCAAAACGTAACCCCTCTCTTCAATGACTCAAAAACTACTGTCTGAATTTCTGTTGCTTTAGCGGGAAAGCCAGCTTCTCCCTGAAGCTGGCTTTCGCTTCAGGGATTACGCAATTAATCCTTTTATGATGAGTGCCTTAGTTACTGAACCACTTAGGACAGCATGCTAACATGGGTCTTGTGAGTGTGAGCAATTCGTGAACCAATGTTTTAAGCTAATTTTGAAAAACATTTTGCATAAATTAAATTTTTTATCTAACTGTTCCAATTTTTGGTGCACTACAAATGGAACACTCAAATATTTATCAGAATTAATTTTAAAACATTATCATTATATTTTCCTTAAAAATTCTAGAATAAAACTTTTTACTTTCCTCAAATAAATAAATATGGGAAATATATCCAAACAACCACTGATTTTATTTCACACTTCATATTAAAAATAATAAAATTGCTTAAAATCTTTTTCATAAAAAAAACCTGGCAAGAAAACAACAAAAATGAACCAACATTTCAAAAAGTAGACAGTGTACAATATTCTTTGAAACACAGATGTACACAAAATCCTATGTTACATATCTCACAAGGACAGAATGTCTACTGTTGTTTCCTGGTTTTATGACATTTTCCACATTTTTATTTACATTTAAGGCAGGAAAATGTCTCCCCAAAAGTCTCAAAGTTTAGGATGAAGATCTTGCAATGAACTTCCTTTTGACCTTGTAATCTACGTAATTTTTAAATATTTGTTCCACGAATATGATTTCATGAACGGTGTCTTTAGGCCATTTTTTTGTAATAAAGAACACTGGCATTCTTGAACACAATATCTATCAATCCAAAAAAACAGGTTTTTATACCACTTCACATAATCTCAGAATGATGGATGATGATTACACATGATTGCATCTTCAATGTTGATACTTTCCATGTACTAATGCCAGAGTCAGAAAATGACTCATTCATTATACGTGTATACTCTTCTCTTAAAGATTGTTTTTATTTTGCCATTTGAAGCACAAAAAATATTTTGCTAAATGATATACAAAATATTTGCATCAATGTTAGCCAAATTCTAAACTTCTAAAACTGCAAATCTATCACTAAAAACAACATATTTAAAAGCATTAAATACAAATGCATGTATTTATATCAGGTTCTTTTTCGAGTATTTAATTGTCAATCCAAGCTATTAAAATTTTTGCCATATTTTCCAACTGCAAGATTTTCAAAACTAAGTAAACTTTGCTGGAGTAACATCTGAAACTTTAACAATAGACCAAATGTTTTCTTCAATATCCTATATTGTTCCTATGCCTGATTTGTTTATAGCTAGTTCTGTTTCAAGTAGTGAAAACAAATCCATTTTTCAACTTAACTGAAAATTCAGTTTTCTGAAATAATGGCAAATAATTTATCATCATCATACTTTCTCTTAGATGTCATATTGAATTTTTTAAATTAAAAGAAATATAGATGCAAAAGCAGAAGAGGATAAACATGCTTTTAAATAAGCTACTAGAGCTGTATGAGTGAAATGATAGCAATTCAGCTTTAGTCACATAGTTAATAGGTAATATTAAGCAGGATAGCCAGATGCATAAGTGACAGTCTTTAGTACAGTGTACATTACAATGGCATACTGTATATGAATCTCCATACTCTTCAGCATAATGTGTATGAATGAAACTCTAGCATTGGACAAAGCAAATGTAAACAATCAATATAGCACGCATATGCAAAATTGTTTTCCGTAAATCTGTACTCAGCAAGGGTTTACTGTATTAAAAAAATTGCATACAGCCAGGAAGAATTGTTAAGAAATTCAACATACGCCGATTGGGTTCTTTGTCAGTCATAGGTCTAATTTTTTTCTTGAAAACTTTCTTATAATAACCTTTATGCTTGTGCTTTCTCCCTATCAGTTTAATAAGATCATCATACAAATTTATCCAGTTTTTCTTTTCATTTTGCCGATGTTTCCTTAATATGAGAATTTCATCTTCAATAACAGCAAGCTAGAAAAAAAACAGATCATAATATTTTTTAATAGAATTTAAGACCTAACAAAATTAAAATAAACTCAGCAATCAATTCAAATTTTTTTAAAAATGTTTCTTCTAAAGGTCAGTTTATCTCTCCTTAACAGCTGCCCACCATAAAATTAAATTGCCTGCAAGACAGCTGAATTTAGAGCATGGATCAACTAATGAATATTTGCACTGCAGCAAACTGTACAGAGAAGAATCATAAAGATAGGTTTCTATGTCAGGAAGAAAGTAAAGGAAAAAAGTATATCATTGACTAAACAACAAAAAAGAGCTTGCTTGAATTGAAGCAGAAAATATCAGAGCCTAAGCAAATGGATCCATTGTTTCTTCAGATCAATTCCTAGTTGAATTATGATTCTAAATGCATTTACACTGAAGGGAGCCAGGTACACAAAATATTCACATCAATGTTAGGGAATCTGATCATCGGGGTAGTGTGTATGCAATGGTGTGAAGAGGTATCAATAGATATATTTTCCTGTACATGTTAGCAAAGGATCTGTGTCTGTTCAGAGGTACTGAAGTCATATAGTCCAATGCAAAACTTTCTAGAGGTGTATGTGAATTTCATTTAAAAAAAAAAATTATTGATGATAAGGCACATGAACATCAAGCAAATATGGTTATCAAACCTCTCAAAATCAAAAACACTGAATGAATAAATTGTCATCCAAATCTCTTAAACTGACTCTCATATAAAATTTATGGAACACCATTAGAAAAGCTACTATATAACAAAATGCTACTAATAAAATATCAATGCATTGACGACTCTATTGGCATAAGAATGCAACTTACTTCTTCAAAATACTAATTAACCAACTTACTTACATAAATCAGGTTTTGACATTTTGTACGAGTTAAGCAAGATCATATCCCTATTATTTTCAAAAGTTTGTATTTGTTTCTGATGCATAAACTTTTACATAAAGTTTCATTTTTTATAGTACAAAGCATGCAACATAAACTTTGCATTCAGATTCAGTTTTCCAAATTATATTTATGCATTATTTATTGTTTCAAATAAATTAAATTTTTTTAAAGAGTTTTTGAGAAATCACTCCTTTTTGTGCATGTAAAGATAATTTAGTTGTCAGTGTAATTTAGTATTTATTTCTTATTAATTATTACCTATTCATAATCTTGGCAAAGTTTATTACCATATTTAATAATCAGCAAATTTTTAAATGCTTTTATTGTATGTGGAAGAAAATAAATATACAATTTTGAAACCTTGTATTAAACCTCACATCTTTTAAATTTTACTTAGGACTTTTCTTATGTGGCAATACTGCATTCATTTTTAATACAAAGGTCCTAAATGTTTTCCGCTTAATGTCTTCATCTTCTTCAGATCTTTAAAGAATAATAGAATGAGAACCACCTTTCTTTATACATAGCTTTCTCAAAACACTGTAGAGTGAAATAAGGATTAAGTTTGGATTCTTAAACTCATATCACACCTCTTCAGGTGAAACACACCAAGCAACTTTTCTTAGAAATATGCTCTTCAGGAACTAGTCTAAATGGTAGGGATTTTTTTTGGCAACTTTTCATAAATATGTTCCATTAGTTTAATTTTGTCTAATCTTTTCGATGATTCATTAATAAGGGATGGGAAAGAAGACAGAAACAGTACACAGCAGAGTATGTCTAGGAGGTTATCAATGTCTTTGGAAGCAAAAAAAGTTATAAATATTGCATCCTGAATTCACACAACAAATCTTCATTAACATTTCTATCATTTAAAAAATAAACCAATACATCTAATTTAAGATTCTTTTCTTTATAATATGGAGAGTTTACATATAAAAATAAGATTTTCTTGCCTTGATAATCAAAGTAGCAAGTACAATTCACTACAAGAAATGTTATTTCAAAACATATTTTCATCTTACTCTGATAAATGAAAAGGAAGCACAGAAATCATTATCAGACCTGAAAGCTAAATTAACAACCAAATTTGTGGACTACCAGACAATTCTCTACACAAATTTTGCATACCCACCAGTGTCATACTAAATTTTAAAAACTTAAATTTACATACTTTTAATACAAATAAAATATAAGCAGAATTTCAATTTTTAGTCTGATAAACCTAATAAAATTAAAATGACTATTAATTTAAGTTAAATATGCATTATTAAATAAAAACCTTTAGAAGAAGTTAAACATATACATTGCTCAAATTTCTACTGATATTTATTAAAACAAAGAGCTACTAGTATTAAATTTCAAAAGCAAATTTAATTTATAGTAAATGACTCTAGCAATTTTATTTAAATAACTAATACATAAATAATGAATATATGAAAATAATGCTTAAAAATTTCACATTACATCTTTATTTTCTGCACTCAGAAGTTTTTCTAATTCTTCTGTTACTTTCAACCACTTTCTTTCTTTTGCTAAAGTGTACTTAATATTGTTCAATTCAATACACTCCAAGCAAAATCTGCAAGAATTAATTAATTAAATAAATATACATACTAAAAGCTATAATAAAAGAACCTAATGACATAAAAAAACACAATACTGCTTTACATATACAAGAAAAACATAAGAAAAGAATAACTCGTACTCCACAAATGATTGATATGAAAAGATTTATATGCATGAGGATACCATTTTTTAAAAGCACACAAACAACAAATTATTAAAACAGAATATTAATTTTACAAATTTACATACAGTATAAAACAAAAATTACAATAAATAAATACAAATTTAACAAAGAAATATTATGAGGGAAAAAATGTTTTCATCAAAAAGAAATGCATAAGAACATGAGTTATTTATAAAAAAGGCTTATAGAAATTAATAACAGAGTACAATATGGGCACACTTCTTTTACATTTTTAACCAAACAGATTTTCTGCATCTATGCACTTAAATTAAAATGTAAATGAACATAAAATAAGAGGTGTTCTTATTTTATGTTCATTTACAAAATTATGGAAGAAAGCATTATAAATTAAATTATTTGTTACAGAAAAAGCATATTAGGGTACAACTTTTGATTTTTTAAATATCTAAAACCATTTCAGATATTAAACATGCATATTTTTAGTAACTGTTCTTCTTATTTTGAAAGAAATAGTTCTTTCTCAATGTCCAAATTACACCGCATAGTATGATTATAAATAATAATAAAGGACATAAATTAATGCGAATTCTTATTTTTTATCATCATTTGACAGTATTTCCTCTTTTATTGTTATTTTTACAGAGGTGCACCTATCAATAATAAAATACAATCTGTGTTCTATGAATTCACAGTTACCAAAAGAGAGGCAGCTTGAATAAAAACTGCATGGACTTTTTGGCATTCATTTTTTGGCAATTTTATTTTCAGTATACATTATACATTTTTTTAAAAACATTGTAAACAGCAGCTAAGTTGAAATTACTAGAATAGAAAAGAGAAAAATTATAGGTATCTACTAAAAAATAAGTGATCTTTAGAACTTTATATGAATTTTTTAATGAAATTTTAAGAAGGAAAAAGGTATAAATAAAGATGTCTTGCAATTCTGTAAATACAATGAGATAGTAATTCCAATTATAAACAGACACTGATGTCTTATCTTTTAAAATTTTGACTTTGTTTTGTTTAGCCTGTACATATAGTGTGTCTAAAAAATGTAGTGACAAACATTTAGGGAAGGCAGGGTACATTATATGGATTGAAAATTTCATAGCAACCCATGACTGGAAACATCAGGGGTAAGTGGTAGCACAGGTAGAAGACTGGAAAGAACATATGAGAGTGATTAATTTGAAACATGTGTATATTGATACATGCTGTGCTGACTGAATATACCATCCCTATTGAATGTAGCCTTATTAGTGAAAAACATATAAGCTAGAAAATTCTCGTTTTGGACACTTTGTTGCAGAATGCACACATGTAGGATACTCATCGGAGAGCAATAACTGAACCCTTTGGAGATGAAAGGCATGCAAGGGCTCGGTGTTCAAAACAGACTGTACATTACAATAAGGCACTCTTAAGGCAAAGCCAATGGCATGTACGTTGGTACTGGGATTAGTCTCCACGGCATCAAAACCACACTTTCTTCCATAATGATCGAATGCATAGATTATGGCTTGCCCTCCTGCAATTTCTTAACAACCTGTACTCGCACAAATTTTGATGCACATGTGCAAACACACTACGATGCAGGATGTCTGTCTGGGAAGCATTCCTGATAAATTCATTTAGTGGCTTGTATATTGTCCTCAGAATGCCAAAAAGTCCATACAGTTTTTATACATACTAAAAGCTAAGTGCATGTCTGTAAGTTCACCATTCGTATACTGTTGCATGTTCTTCATATGCTGGCTACCACTTGAATGAGGAAATCCACCTTTCCCTTCCAATGCTATAGTGCACAGCACCACTAGCGACAATGTTTCAGTCATGGGTTGCTATGCAATTCTCATGATATGCACTATTTCTCCTAAAAGTTTATTACTGCATTTTTGAGACACCCTTTACATCAATTATTCTAAAAAATTTTCCTAAAGAAATACAAAATAAACACAGTGAACATATTGTAAGACCATTATCTGCTGTCAAACATTTTGTTTATGCCCTAAAGAAGTATTATGCTTCATTACAAGTTATGTACTCTGAACTTATGCATTGTTTACTTTAATTTCTGTAGCCAATGCTCAAATATATATATTGCTATGCTTTTCTCTTCCTGTCAGACACCAGTTGTTACGTTATTATCTTCCTTCACATTCTTGCGGGGTTCGTGTGGATTTGGAGTGAATAACGACGACACTTGATGAAGTATCGACACTCGATGAATTATTTGCCAGTATTGTCAGGACAGCTCCAAAACACGTTATACAATCGTCAATGAACTACTATAAACACGCTGACACAATCAGCGACACAGCCTTCAGGTTATCAGGCTATCACGGTGGAGACAGCTTCACCGCAAAACACCAGAGTACAGCTTCCGACTCTCCTTGGTCGTTCTTGGAACTCCACGTACTTTCGAGATTCTCTATGCTACAACTCGCGATGTACTCGACGACACATGAGCACAACTCCTGACTCTTCAGTTCAGTCGTTCCCAAAGCTCAACACGCTCTCTCGACATTGCACGAAGAGACTCCTTCGGTGAACTCGACGACCCACTCGGCACTCGCTGCCCGGCTGTCAACTTGATGACTCTGCAGGGATTGACTTGCTAGATGAGACACACACACTGACTGACTGCGGACCAGCAGGGTTTATATAGCTTTCGGCCTGTGTTCGAGAACATTCTGGGCTAAACCAGTAAGAATTTGTTCCAGAAGGTTCTCCAACCGTCCATGGTATATCGCTAATATTGGTGCCAAATGGGCAATTTCTCACTAAATGTGGCAACCCTGCCTTCCCTTGCCATTTTAAGGCAACCCTAAAACTGCTTTGCGGGGAAGCTATCTTACCGCGTCTTTACATTTCGTAACACTACCCCCTCCCAAGGACTGCACGTCCCGGGCAGTACAACCCTTGGTCGGAAGCATAATTTGATACAAACAAAACGTTTTAAAACATACAGATAACATAAACAAAGAAACATTATTGACACTATGTACAAGTTATATACACAAATTAAACACATAACAATTTTAAGTTAAAGTTCTGAATGAATTTCAGTCTCAGTCTATTCACTAAAATATACCTGGGTCAAATACTTTTCCACTGCAGTTCTCAGATATATTTATGTTTTGCATATCACAGTCTGAAGAGTCAGTTCTTTGAAACTTTCCATCCACAGAAAGATCTGAAACAGTTTGATCACCAAACTGAAGTTGGTTCGCATCATGTGTACAGTTCCCACCGGTATTTTCAACAGCTGGTACATGCACATTTCCCTTCGTTTCCTGGGAACGAGCTTCAAATTCTGCATCAGAATCATGAATGGAGCCCGATACCTTACGCAAGTATCCTGGTTTAGACTCAAGTCCTTGTCTGCAAAGTCTGCACTATGAGACGCACACATAGTTTGCAAAGTGGGCGAATTTTCTTGCAATACTGGAGCACACTGCTGAAGCTCGGAAGCTGTACTCTGGTGCTTTGCAGTGAAGCTATCTCCACCGTTATTGCTTGACAGTGTGAAGGCTGTGTTGCTGATTGTTCCAGTGTGTTTATAGTAGATTTTCGACGACTGTAAAATGTGTTATTGGAGATGCCCTGATTAATATTGGCTAAATAAAGTGTGTTTCGATACTTCCTCAAGTGTCGTCCTTATTCACTCCAAATCTACGAACCCCGTACGAATGTGATGGAGGAAAATAACGTAACAACTGGTGTCAGGAAGAGAAAAACGTAACAATATGTTAAGCCAAGAATTATGAAAGGCGACACTGAATTTTTTCTTGCTACCCATAATTGATATTTTAGTTAACACAGCATATAATATGACTAAAAGTTTTGAATCCTACTCATAGATCATCAAAATATTAAACAACACAATTAATGAAACACAAGAAAATACCAGGTATTTTACTTTAGAATAGGCATTTCAAAGCCATTTTTATTCCCAAACAATAACTGCTGCAAAATAAAATGCCTAATCCTTTAATTTGTTATTTTTTCTAATTCTCTTGAGGGGCGATGATGATACAATTATGACTGTAAATGGAGGAAGAGTTGCTACGACTTTGAAATACCTTATTTAAAGTAAAAGATTTACAGTGTTGAAAACTGAGTAAATTCACACTCATGGGCTATGATATTAGGATTGACAGTTAAAAACTTTTCTTTAAGCCTAAACAAATTATTACTTTTTATTATAAGTTATTTTTAGTGCATACATTATATTAATGCATACGAGTGTACGTTTTCAGTACACTGAAAAACATTTTCAGTAGCAAAAATAGCACAAAGAAATGATGGAGCAATAGAAAATTCACAAATCTGAATAGATTTTAGTACTGCAGGTTTGCCCATAATAGGAAATTTGTGAAACATCACATGATCTGGCAACACTGATGGCAGTTGGTGCATGTTTATCTGAGAGAGACAGACAAGGCATATGCGTCCTATCAGCTTTGCCAGTCAAAAATTTCAGAAGCTCAGCAGAACTAGTCAACTATTGAATGACAGGCTTATGCAGCTGTGTGGTCATTAAATAAGTTTGAGAGTTGGGTGTTTGAATTAAATATTCAGTTGATCACAGATCATAACTTACTACTGTATGCACAAAAGTCTGAGCCTCATTCTGCCAAATTACAGAGGTGGGCAATGGCACTTCAATCTTCAATTAATATTTCTCACAGTTCTGGTGCAGAATTAAAAAGTGCTGCTAGTCTTTCAAGACTAGTTAGTGAATGAAGTATGTGTGAACTGAGTATAAACTAAAAAACTTAAAACGTTGCCTCAATTATTTTTCTTTCATTCCAGAACTGTACAATAACTACTTACCATCTGTTTTGAAAAATTCAGTGTTTTTCATTTAATGTTTTACTGTTGTATTGTATTGTTTTTTTAAATAAATAATGTTGCATATATGTGTTTATTGCAAAAATCCATTATGGCAACAAGAGATCCATTCATGTGTTGTGAAATTAATGTTTATTACCCTTATTTCAAAAGTATGTTATTTCATCACATATACATCTCATAAATTTTAATTCTTTTAAGCTAAAAGAAGCATTAAGATATTAGGCAAATATTATTGCTGGAGTGTCCATATATCATTTAAGTATATAATTTGTTCACGTCAATGAGAGAAAATCTGAGCATTAATGAATATATTAATTATTAATATTATTTTCGTGAAGTATTATTTAAATCTGCGAACTTACTAGACAGTTCATTTCTTAGATTCTGCTTCGCGATGTAGCATAATCTTAATGGGGATGTGGGGTTGTCATGCATCTCTCTATGGTTAGCCAGTCAGCTTCCTCCTTATTGTTAGCGAAGAACCAACAAGGGAGACAGATAGTCAGTAGAAGACTGGAGTTGTCTGTGAGAACTTTGGCACTCCTGTTGGTGGGGCTGATATAATTTTGTAGCATGTTGAGATAATACCTGAGTTAAAAACATTTAAAGCTACGGTTGTTTCCATCAACTATATCTTATTAACCTATATAAATATTCCTGTACATAGTCATGTTTATAGATAATAAAAAAAGTGTTAAAATTAGATTTATCTTGAATGTGATATCTTTGCTATCCTATCAAGCATGACAGCATTTGTTGTTGATAAAACAATTTCATCCACCTTCAATTAAATTATGACTCCCAATCTTAATACCTCCCCCCTGCAAAGAAGATAAGTGCGGATGAGAAAGATAATGACTGCAAAGATGGTAAGAATATATAATTAGTTTGCCAATTATTTTCTGTAAAACTTTCTTACAGTAGTGCAAATAAACTTCCAGCATTAAATAAAAATACTTCATTCTGATAAGATTCAAAATATAACTTTTAATAATTTTAATATTATACAGTAATTATTATCAAGTATTTCAGCTTTTACAGCTATTTCAAAATAATCATTATCACTACACAAGCAAATTAAATTTTGTGCATCTAATAATCACAAAATAATGAAATCCTAATTTACCTAATATCACCAAACTTTTTTTCACAATTTATCTTAGGCTTGATAATATACATAATAGCATGCAAGTTACTTCTAAAATCCACTTGACTGTTTTCATTCTGTGTAGTACATCTTGTTACTGATAAATCTGACTCACATTTCCTGTGAAAAATAATTTTTAATACAATAATTAGTTTATTTTATGCGACTTATTTGGTTTGCTTCTTTTTACAACTTAAATTTACTTTTCATTTTAAGGACTTGTTTTTATTAGTGAAAAATATTTACATGAATGAACATTGAAAATATAACTTGACAGCTATTAAATGGTTATTTTAAAGGCAGCATAGTATAAAAATTAATTAAAAAAAAAAAAAAAGAAATCGTACTCCAGCTAATACTTGACAACTAATATACAACTAATATAAATCTTTGGCACTTGCATATTAATGCAAACCTGGTGGTGATTTTTTTACAGAAGAAAAAATATACTGACTTATTACAGCAAAATATTGTCTATTACAAATATACCTATTAGACAATTTAATTATGCATTTATCTCAAAAATCAATAAATAAACTGAGTTAAATATGAGTTTTTATTTCTTTTGCTTTGGTGGAAATTTTGTGAAGACTGCTTTAAAAATAGAGCCAAAATATTGTTCTCTTCAGCAATTTTGTAATAAAATATGTATTCCTGCAGAAATTTTATTGCATTTTCTACCATTACAGGCAAATCCCATAACAGCATATTTTAAAATTAAGTCTATGGTGAAAAATATCATGATTTATATATAAATTATTAGAATTTGGAATACACAAAAAAGAACTCATACAAAATGTGGCAATGTGAGTTGCTAAAACTAAAGAACTGTTATGTACATGGTTTACAGAGTTTGGTGAATTTTTAACATTCTATAGAGGTAGTTGCACTAAAATGTAAGTACCAAACTTTTACCTTTATAGTATGAAATGTGCAAGTATACAGTGTCAAAAAGTTGATGGTACTTCCTTATTACAGCTGCTACTGCATAGGCAGCCTAGCCTGAGAATCAAATAAGCTGCATATTAAAAAATTTAACAAGTTTTATAGTTTGATAAATACTACTTTGCTACTTTAATGAAAACATACCAAACTGACTTTTTGATTGAGAAGAAACGGTTACTCTCTCTCTATATATGTATAAAGTTAATTTTTAGCTGCAAATACAAGTTTGACAACTTTTCAAAGAATACTTATTTGGCAGCAGTTATGAAGGTAATAATAATTTAAATATGATAAATTACTTCAATACTTGTAAAAAGAAACTTGTTGCCAATGATGTCAAAATGTCAACAACATCTGCCATAACCAGCTTCGTACTACTACCTGAAAATTAATTAAGTGTGAAACACACATTGAAGTTTCTTTGTTTCTTTTCCCAGAGAGAAATATTGGTACTTTCTTGCTAAAGTGCTCATAACAGTGGCTTTTCACAACATCTGATCAGTTCATTATAGACTAGGTCGCTAAGTTTTTTTTTTTTTTTCTATTTTGGCATCTAATTGTAGTGGAAGTACACAACAAGGAACTATCTGTTATATACTTGTTCATACTTATGATAGATAAAATAAATAAATAAAAAAAAAAAAAAAAAAAAAAAAACTAAAGAATTTGGATTTTACGAACAATTTTGTTTAAATACATTAAATACAGACCATCAAAAAATCATACGAATTATGATTACACTATTCTTCTTAAACTAAAAATAACACCTATGGCTGTCACTCAATAAGCCAAAATCTTCATTGTTAAATAAAAATTAAGCCAAAGAGATTAAAAAAATATTAAGCTAAAAAATTTTTGTTCTATTATTTCTTTCTTGAACATCAAACTATATAACAAGTATCAAATATTAAGTAAATTTTCCCTTAAATAAAATTATACTTATATCATACACATAAACAAATAATTATAACATATAGATTATTACAAAATTTTTTCATTACCATTAGACCACTTTTGATGCAGATGAAAACAATGCAGCAATTGTGCAATTGAGAATGATGGTAGAAAAGGTAGAAACATTTTATTAATTAAAATTAATGTAAAATGTTAAGAAAAATAGACTTTTAAAAAAATATTCACATCACTGTGCTTAGGAGAATACATTTTTACATGAAAAATAAGAGAAATCTTAAATCTCATCAATTTGCAAAATTTCTACTTTGCACAATTTGAATTTTCAGTTGTGATGCAATGAAAACAACTGATTTTAAGTGTCACTTGGATAAAATTTATAAATCTTAGAATAAATGGAAAGATCAAACACTTACCATAAAGTACTGACTTCATCAGTCAGTAATTCCTAATTATTCATTGATAAGTTATGAACAAAAATAACTAAGAGAATTAAAACTATTATTCTGCAAATTTTAATAATTACCAAATTCCATTTGCATTTTGTTTGTGGTATATCATATTCCAGGATTTAAAAATTAAAATAAATTAAATTAGTAAAATTTTTATTAAAATTTTAATATTCATATATATTCATAATATATTTTAATAGTTAATATTATTTTTTATTGTTAAAACTATGAAATACGGAAGGTAAATTACTATATATATAACAGACTTTTTTAAAGGATAACTGAATATACTAAAACTTACTGATAAAAATATTTTGCATATGAAAATAATTCTGTTTCACCAACTGGATTAAAAAAGTAAAAATATAAAATACATAATAAAAATTTCTCCATTCAATATGAGCATTTCTAAACACAGCACAAAAGCATTCTTTAAACTGCTTATCATTTTTTAAGAAGAAATGATAGGAGAGAAGCAATTATGACATTTAAAATTTTTTTCTGAAAACCTAGAAAACAAAAATTTTATATTCTCGGGGGGAAGGGGGCTGCTTTCAGTTTAAAATATTTCATAAAAATGATAATATAAGATCCTATGATAAAAAATTTATTATATTTTCAAAAACATTTAAAACAAATTTGTTAACAATGTCGCTAGGCACAATAATTTATTATGAGAAAATAATTATTTGCTTTTAAACTTACCTGATAACTTTATTTTTAGTATATTTCATCTGATGATGGCTATATTTAATACTTGACCAATAAATCTGAAAAAAAAAAAAAAAAAAAAAAAAAAAAAATTAATACTATTTTTCATTTCAGAAAATTTCTGGTTTTATATTGTATAATTCACTAGCATATGAGACTCTTTATGAATAAAAAGTTCATATTAATACTTAATTTTTTACTAATTTATACAAGAAATTTTTGAAATAATAAGCAAATAAATAAATATTCAGTAGTACAGCAAATGGACCTTCCCCCCCCCAAAAAAAAGTACCATATACTAGATAAAAGCTTTACTTAAATTGTTGCTAAATTTTAAAATGCATTTCACATATGAGAGGAATTTTGTATATTTCAACAGTTTTGTTCTAATAGTGGACTATTGATCCATATATAAAATAGTTGAAATATACTGAAGTTCTTACCTTTTTAACAGCAGTATTTCCTTTGTTTTCATTTTTAATTCTGCAAATGTGCACATCCTTATAATCCTGTACAAAATGAATGCAATTTTTTTTTTTCAAAACTGAAAGCAATGCATATATTGCAGTAATATAATAATTAAGTTTATAAAATTTAAACTGTCAGAGAAAAACATTGAATAAATGAACAAGGAGTCTTATCTATTATTTTCACTGCTTTGTATCATGAGCAAATTCATTCAGAGAAAATACAGTCAAAAGTCGTTAATTCGGACAAACATAATCCGGACCTCAAAGCTAAAAACTTTCTGCGCATGCGCCGCGTTGACGCATGCGCATAGGCGTTTAAGCGTGTGCGTAAGACCTTTACGACTGCGCATTTGCATGTGCACAAGCGCAGAATACGTTTTCGCTGCGCGTTTAATGTATAACGGACGGTATAAGCTAAAATTATATAATTGTCTATTTCAGTTAATGTTGATGATTGCGTTGTTCCTTAATCTTCAAATTGGATTCGGCTTATTATTTTTTGCAGACTGTAAGAGCAATTTTATAAAAGTAAGCTTGAACTTTCGATTATGTCAAATAGAATTTCCGATGCTGGAGCTCCCAAAGGATCTACAAAACGAAAATATGTTTCGATGTCCATCAAACAAAAAGTGGAATTGCTGCAAAAAATGGATAAAGGCATATCCTTTGTTTCTCTAACCATTCCGAAATCTGTTTATCAATTTCACGCTGCTCTGCGCGCGGGGGGGGGGGGGGGCGTGGTGCATGCAATGAACTGGAAGTTGATCTGTCAGCACTATCTTATCTTCAGGGCAGATGTTTTTATTTTATTCGGCTTATAATTCCTTACTAAATGTAGTATTTCATCTCGATGTACTTCGTCTTTGATATGATTTAAATCAAATTCCTCGTCATTATAAATATCACGAATACACATCAAATAGTTTTCTGGTTGCAATTTTCTAATTTCGACTATGCATAATGTATGCTTTACGCATGCGCGCATTGAAAGAAATGTTTAATAAAGTAAACAAATAAATATTAAGCTTTTTTTTTTTTTTGTAAATTTTGATACCCTTTAGATCATAATTGCTCATTATTTCATAAATTACGGTTTCATATTTTTAATTTTATAATTTCTGCATGCCATCTTACCAGATTTAAACTGATGATCTATAATCCGGAATCACCGAAGTCCCGACGAGTCCGGATTAAAGACTTTTGACTGTATAAGATATTAATAGTAATAATAATAATATTGTTAAAATGAATAAATAATTATTTGATACCGTTATGGCTTTAAAATAATAATATAAAATGATACTAAAAGGTAAGTAATAAATGTTAAACTTCAGATTATCGAAACTGGAATTTTGCTAGGATAAGGCATTAATGATTAAACAGTACATAAACGGAATTCATTGAATTAAGAGTTAATTAAAAAGTAAATAACAAGATTACATTAAAAATAGCCTTTCCAAATGCTTGCCGCTAAACACACTTGGCTCATTTATTTATCACCCTCTTCTTTCTTACAGTAAAAAAAAGCAAGAGAGAGGGACAGTTTAACTCCTATTTTAGTTAGCTAACTTACAAAATTTCAACTTGCATTTTTCACGTCTCAAATGCACAATATATATTAGAATCATATATAACATTGTTCTAACATACATATTTTGACACAAATCAGCTGAAATGACATGCTGATTTTTTTTTTTTTTTTTTTTTTTTTTGCAGATTCCTATTTTATGCCTCAAATTATGCCATGCCAAAGTAACAAGTTTTTTTTTAAAAAAAAATTAACAGTGTTAGTGAGTTTGGTATATATTCAATATCATTCTTAAAGCTAAACTTACTTGATTTCTTCTTTTATAATTTGCAATTTAAGTTTAATCCAAATAAAATTCATGCATATTTCCTAATTTATTTAAAAATAATTTTTTTGAAAAAAACTTTCGAACTTAAACCTTAAAAGTTTTTGCCATCATCTTAAAAGTAGATGTATTTGTTGGTATACTTGCAAAGAATTAGAGATATTTATTCAAAATTTCCAAAGATATATGTGAATTTATACATTGCTGCATTCTGAAATTTGGCATAGTGATAATAATGCTAAGTATGGTTTTGCACTTTGTTACACTCTTCAGTAACTTTAAACAGCTAATTTTGCCTTAAATTTCCAAGTGTACTTTTATACAGTATTACTAATATATAATTTCTTTATCATCATTTTTATTGACGAGGCAAAATAAATATATTTTTAATAATCATCAAAAAGCTATCTTTCATATTTATAAAGAATATTAATAAAAAGTTAAAGATTACTTCCGCCCCTTTCTCATAAGTGTAAATTTTTATCTTTGTCATTTTATCATCCACTAGTTTACTTCATTATCTAAGTAATTAAATTTATTTACAGATTAAAAAAGGGTGCATGACATATATATATATTAAAGAATATGCCAAAAATATTGTATTAATATATTAAATATATAATAGATATATTAAAAATAAAAAAAATATTAAACATTTCTGTAGCAGAAACATGTTTTCTACTACAGAAATGTTTAGTTAAAAATTTTCTAGAACGTTAGAATTTTTTTCTTCTTTTCTGTGTGCAACAAATAAAAGTTTTCTAAAGATGTTTTATGTCCAAAGATATACTAAAGCATTAACTGCATAATATAATTTTTTTTTTATTAAATTGTTATAGATATTTGAAATGGCTACTAACATTACCATCAAAGACTCTTCTTTTCTTTTCTTTTTTTTTTCTTTCTTTTAAGCATAGTTTTTATATAAACATAAATTTTAAAACTAATTTTTTTTTTTTTTAAAAGTCAAATTGTTATACAAACACTCAAATCTATTTCAGAACTCAAACAACAAAAATCAGCGTTATATTTTCTAATTTTCACAGGACTAGTTTCAATGGTTTTACCAAACCATCATCCTCAGCTCCAAAAGTGCAAATGAACGAGATTGTGTCTTAATTACTAAAATATATATCAATCAAATTAATCAGTCAAATAATGGAAGCTTAAAGGTTACATAGAAATCATCCACAGCTATTCTGAATTCGGTAGGCAATGAAGGCACGATCATTATTATATAAATCTAAGAATATAATTTTTTTTAAATAAAATAAAAATTAAACTAACTTCTTGTTTTAAAATGCCTTTTCCTATGTAGAGTATTTTCATTATGGGCTTAAAATTCTAATTAGAATGTATTAGTCAAGACAAGAATTCTAATCATCGGTAATATGATAAATGATTATTACAGTTACATTTATTTTTACAATATTATTTGTTACATTTACTGTTACTTTAGTATTTATTAAAATTCTTCCTGAAAACTAATTCTAAAAATTTAAAAATTTGTCTTTTTCTATGCACATATTGCTAGTTGTATGTCACCAAAATTTTCATACCTGAATTTCTACTCTTTCCTTTAACTCCATCAAAAAGTACAAATTAAGTGAGTTTAATAGATAAATGTCAATCTAAGTTTAAAAACAAAGCATTGGCAATCAACTACCTCTGCAGTATCTTTCATATTTTCCCTGATTGGATAATTACTCTGGTTTTCAGCGAGTTTATGGTTATGCTATTAACAAACATGCATAAATTAGGTTGCTTGAGGGAAGAAATGCGTTCAAGGTAGAACTTTTCTAAAGGAAAGGGCTCATATTCATATTGCACATGGAGAAAATCAAAGAAACCAACCATACAGCGAGCTCATTCGCTTGGGTTGGACTTCTGGACAAAGTATCAGTATTCAGCACTTTTTAATCTCTCAGTCACTGGTAGAATCACTTAAATTAGAAGCTAGATTATTAGTGCCTGATTTACTGTTTGGTTTTCAGATACTTAAAACACCATTATATTCTCAGTAAAAAAAAAAAAAAAAGATTACATTTTGTTAATGCATTAATTTTTAAACTACCAAGCTGTACAGCAAATGAACATTCAGCTACAACTGAAGTTATTGAATGCACTTGCTTTTCTTAGAATTTAAACTAAAGATAGGATGATACTAGAGACAGTCCTTTCCTTTTAAAGGAAAGTTTTCTTTTCTGACATGAAGGAGAAAAAGGAAAGCACCATTCTAATTTTACAGAGCCATGCTCAAAACAGACCTGTACAACAGAGGGACCAAAAAGATATTTAAAAAAATTTTCTGTTGCTATATTCCGGAAAAATTACCTATTGATTAGCTAAGCTCCCCCCAATTACATCTTCCCTTCCAGAAAAATTTTTAGTGTTAATGAAACTTATCTTCCCTTTTCTCTAATGTGTTTAATATGCCTAGCCTCTAAAGATATTAAGTATCATTATCTAAATTGTTTCACTATTTCATTCTGACCAAATACTGATGAAGTGAAAGGCAATACCTCTACTCATAAGAATGTCACAAAACCCCTTATTTCAAAAAGCTATTCCAAAAGTGCTGGGCAATGAATAAAAAAGCAAGGATGGTTGTGGATAGATCCGTAGAAAGCGTCAATATCATAAGAGCATTAAGGTATTCCTGAGGCAATATGGAATTAAGAAGAAAAAACAGTAATACTTATTTTTTGGGCTTTTTTTAGGTTATGCCTTTTTTTTTCCGATTTACAAAATAAAAAAATTGAACTTAATTGAAAATACATGTAATATTTAAGAAATTAAATGTAGGATAACGAAGCTGTGTAAAGAAGTGACACAACGACAAAATATGTAAAGCAAAGGAAACTGTGTGTATGCATCTCATGCTAAATTAAAATACCAATTATACATCTTTTCTGACTGGTGCACTGAAAGATGTATTTATTAAACATGCAGTTTGCAAAGGCATCATAGTGATTTGGACAGAAAGTATTCTTTCCAAAGAAATGTAATTCAAATAAATAAAGTGATGATAGTCCACACTGCTGCAAACATCGACACAACTTATGAGCTGATACTGGGCGTGCTGCAAACATGCCTATTTCCTGACTAATGGTCCATGATGTGGTCGTACGGTTTTGCAGTGCTGACCTCACAACATGTCTGTCCTCTCTGGCATTAGTTATGGGA